TTTTTTTTTTAATGTGCACCAACAATTACAGAGAACAAAATGTAGTTTGCCTTTCTTCCAGAAAACTTTCAGGATGAAGATACTAGGCCACGGCACCTTCATGCAAGTAGAATTCCAATGTCTTAGAACATGAGGACTTTAGAATTGTAAGCTAAATAGATGTCAGATCACTAAATTTTGTAAAGTTTATTAAATGAATGTTTATTTGGCAGCTGCTCTATAATATTCACTATTTAAAACAATTGGGATCCACGCTGAAGCATAAAAGCCCTTAATACTGACAAAATACTCAATTCTTGAGTATTTGGGACATTTGTTGAGGAACTGTGATGTGACATGGTTAACCTCAGTTAAAGATATGCTTTAACAAAATAGGCCAAAGAGTCAAAGAATGATCATATGTATGTGTCAGATGTCCTTGCACAAGGCTACCCACTATGTCAGAGGAAGGACAGGTTAGGGCTTTGGGTAGTTTGTGTAGGGAAATGAGGCCTGCCATTTCTCACTAAATTTAGCAGCATGGCTTTCAATTGGAAATGAATGAGAATAAAAGTAGACGTGAAAGACATGAAGAAGGGAGACTTCAAGGCTGAAAGTAGTACTTTATGAGAATAAGAGCAGAAGCAAGAGCACACTAGGGAATGCCCACAGAGGAGAGCTTGCTGAGATCAGTGTTCTTGGTGTTGAGTAGGCTAGCTAGGAGGGATCGTCCTTCTCCCAGTCATATTCAGATGCTTTTTTGCAGCCAAAGATTAGGCAGAAAGTTGGGTTTGACACTAAAACACTTAGCAGAAAGGAGCAATGGAAAGAGGTAAGGGCAAGTTGTTTACCCTTATGTTCAACTTGTGATCCATCAGCCACAAATGGCTTTATGCAGCTAAGGGTAGCCATGCCTGTAGTCCAACACAAAATCATTAACTTACTTAAAACATTATGAGATTTTGTTTTTGTTAAGTGGATTGCATGGTTCCAGAAAGTGGACTTTGTAGATGTCACAGTGTCAAAAGGGTGGGCATGTCTGGTAGGGCTCACAAAAGCTATAATCACAGTGATTGGCCAGAGAACTAACATTGGAGTAGAAGGAAAGAGGAAATGCAAAGAGTGATGGACATATAGAGAATGGTATAATGTAGATGGGTGGAAGGCTTGTTAGAGTCAGGAATTGTAAGGCTGCGAGACCAAAGAGAGTGAGCTGAAGAGCTGAGATGGTAATTAAAGAGTGGAGGACTTAACATAGGATGATAGAGACAATGCACAACTGACAAGGATACAGGTCATGATGATGAATATGGGCTATTGCTCTATTTTCTACTATTAAAAGAAAGCATTCAAGTCTGTATACTTCATGAAGAAAAAAAATCCAGAGTCTAGAAATCCAAGGGAACTACACTGGATTCCAGGTTAGCACTCATTCTATCTGTACAACATAGCGATGGAAACTGGCTGTGCACACAAGGGCCAAGCATATGCAGAGACGCCATCTTGTAACAGCCCATTTTCATGAAGTCAGATTCAGTCTGAGACCAGCATTAACCAATCCACATGCAGCACCTCCAAGAGCCTAGTCACTTTCCACAAGCCTCTGTCACATAAAAATCTCTCTAACAGACTACCACCACACTGGAGGACAAGCCTCCAGTACATGACCTAAGGAAAAAGAAGAACCCAAAATGGATGAAAGGAAAAGGTTATTTCTGAGCATTGTCAGATCAAGTAACAAAGAAGATAAGAATAATGACAAGTAGAGGTAAAAATAAAAGGAAGACTGAGCATGCCAAAGAGGTGAGCAAAAGAATGTGACTAAGAGAATTGGGTGGCAAGAGTCAACATAGTCCCCGGTGTTGGAGAAGCAAGGGCAACAAAAGCGATGGCAAAGGCAGTCCTGTGTAATCCCTGACAAACTGCAAAGAGCCATTGTCTTCACCCATGGCCTGAAAGTTTCTTAGTCTATGCTCCTAAGCCACCTGTGCTCTGGGCATCCAGACACTCTCATTCTCAGAACCCTCTTACCTCCAGGTTCCCCCCAGCGCACCAAAGCAGAAAAGCAAACCAGTAGTTCAATGGGCTTCAGGCTGTCCACAAATAGATAGTAGGGCACACGCTCTTCTGAGAACTACAAGAAATCAGACCAGGCATTCAGCTTAGCAGTCCATTCATTCTATCAGTCACAATGTAGTTTACGCATAGTGAGAAATTTACTGCAGTTCTTGGACCACAGTCAATACATTATAGGTCTAACAAGATGAAGTCATTCTGAGCAGTAAGTTGTGGCAACAGGGTCTGGAGCCTCTGAGAGTCAGGCTGCTGAATGAGAAAACTCTTCTCTGTCAGCAAAAATAGGGGAATGGTCAAGTCCAGACAGAAAGTGGTAAAAAGAGAGCAGGCTGAGGGCAAAGGGCCAGCTGCAGACAGGCAAGAGGACACAGACTAAGCATGGCAGCAAATAGAGTTGCCTAGCGGGGATGCATTCAGGCATTTTGCATAGTGGTACAATGGTAAAAAGAAAAAAAAAAAGCAAAACTTTTTTCATAAGATCCTCAGAAATATAATCATGGCTTGCTGGTGTCCATCCATGGAGGGCTTTTATTCCAGAGATATGGAGAAGTGATTGGTTAGACAGGGTTCTTTGTAAAGAACTCTATATACAGTCATGTACATGATTAGGATCTTAGTACATTCTATAGGAAACTATGAGTATCCCTAATTCCCAAGAAAATACAAAGCAGGATAAGTGGGTTTCCAAAGGCACAAAGTTTGTAAGTAGCAAGATCAGGGTTGAATATCAAGCTTGACTCTAACACTGTATGTATCACAATTGCCTTGTTATTCCCAAACCCACAGTTCCTTATGGTAATTTTGAATGATGTATACAGTAAGTATATTAAACAAATCTAATTGTCACTGCTGTAGAAGTATGTCATAGATGTGCTACTTTACCACAATATTTAAACATCCAGGTAATATAGGAATGATGAATCTCTAGTCACACTGTGAAAAAGGAAATCTTTTTATCCAATTAAATATAAAACAATTCCTAGAAATGTCTGGCATTGCATAAGAGGTTTTAAATCATTGCCTCCTCCAATATTTTCTATTAGTTACCATCCAAATATTTACTTCATGCTTCCTTTAAACTGCAATATGCCAGTATTATGGACAGTTGTTTCAAAGACTCACTGTTTAAGTGTGAAGGACCTTGGATCTACCAACTCAACATGTGTATATGAGCTTGTTTTAAAAGGTTTATCAGCTGGGATATTGGCTGTCACCACAGCCATCCATGAATGACTTTCAAAGTTCTCCAATCCATACTCACTCTGAACACCAAGGGACTATTTCTGAGGAATGTGATGGCCATGGCTCTGTGCTAAGTTGGCAAGACCAGCGACTAAAGCCTAGCCTCAGACCACGGAAAACCCTTCCTCTCAGGCTGCATGGAAAGCTTTGAGCTCCAGTGTCTAAAAATATATCATTTTCTCACAACTGTGTGTGTTATAAACATTCAGGGGAATGAAAGAATCACATCGGCATGTCATCTTATTTTGCTAAGTTGGCATTTTTAAAGGAAAAATAATTACCATCACTTTATAACTATAACATCAAAACGAAAAACAGTTGACCATGTCACTACATATGCACATACATTAAAATGGTTGGTGAGTTTCAGAAAGGGTGAACTCTATTTAATAAGTGACAGCCAACATATGTTATCATGAACTGATCAGCACTTTTCCAAGTGTCTTACAAACATTATCTCAGTTATACCCCAACCATGTGACTTTTGGGGATGCAAACTAGTAAAGCATTGCTTATGGCTTATACAATGGGTGATTAAAAAACTGAAAATTGATATTTCCATTATAATTTTGTAAGAAGAGATTTTAAAATGTTTGAGACATTTAGAAATACTCTTTAATAAGGTGATTCTACATAAAACATATATAAAAAAGGAAAATTTAACGCAGTTACCTTGAATTCTGATTTTTGAAAATTAATACAATAAGAACTTGGCTTGTGGAAAATATATATATGGCTGAAAAAGAGAACATTTATAATAGGTTATTGCCATTATACACAAAATTGGTACTACATGTTTAGTTTCTTAGACTCAAGTAACTATAGGCAGAAAAACTTTATAAAAAGTGCTGCATTCGTTGTTCTAAACGACATAGATCGATCTCAGTGGGAAAATTCGTCTTAATTAGTAAGTGTGTGAGGGAGAGCTGAGACTGGCTCCAGTGGGTTTGTTTGATAATGTGCTACGTGGGTGGATATTGAATACATCCACGGTTCCCTTCCAGCAGCAGATGGGAGCAAGTGAAGAGACCCACAGCCAGGCATTATGCAGAAAGAGGGTCTAAACCAGACCCTCTTGTCCTTCTCCTCAGAGATCAGATAACCCTGGCAAAGAAGGGAAGGAAAAACTGTACGAATAAGAGGGGATAAAGACACAAGGAGAACATGGGCCGTTGAATCAACTAAGTAGAGCTCACATGAGCTCACAGAGACTCAAGCGAGAAGCACAAGGGCCTGGGCATGGGTCTGACCAGGTCCTGTGCGTATATGTTATGGCTGTTAGCTTGGTGTTTTTGTGAGATTCCTAACAGTAAGAGCAGATTTGTCTCTGACTCTTTTGCCTGCTCTTAAGACTCTTCTTCCCATTGGGTTGTTTTCTCCAGCCTCAATTTGAGGGCTTTTGCCTAGTCTTACTTATTGTATCTTGTTTTGTCCTGTTTGGCTGTCATCTCTTGGAGGTCTGCTCTTTTCTAAAGAGGAAATAGAGGGAAAGTGGATCTGGAGGAGAGGGGAGGAAGAAAGAAGCTAGGAGGAATGGAGGGAGGTGGGGCAGAGGAGGGGATAGGAACTGTGGTTGACATGTAGTGTATGAGAGAATTTATTTTCAATAAAAATTTTAAAAACTGTATTTGATATTATGCTAACACCCAGCTGATATTCCTTTCTCTTTTGAATGATGGTTAAGAATTAATAGATCATATGACCAATATATAAATGTACAGAAACAGACCCTGATATGAGCCTGTATGGTACACAGCCTGGGATTTATCCAGGAGAACCTAGTCAGATGACATTTGAGTATTATATTGGCTGCTTTTGTACGTTGTCAACTTGACACAAGCTAGAGTCATCAAAGAGAAAGGAGCCTCAGTTGAGGAAATGCCTCCATGATATCTGGCTGTAAGACATGTTCTCAATTAGTGACCAATGGGGGAGGGACCAGGCCATGGTGGGTAGTGCCATCACTGGGCTGGTGGTCCTAAGTTCTATAAGAAAGTAGTCTGAGCAAGCCATAAGCAATCAAGCCAGTAAGCAGCACCCCTCCAAGACCTCTGCAGCAGCTCCTGCCTCCAGGTTCCAGCCCTGCTTAAGTTCCTGTCCTGACTTCCTTTGGTGATGAACATCAATCTGTAAGTGTAAGCCAAATAAACTGTTTCTGACCCAACTTGCTTTTGGGTCATGGTGTTTCTCATCACAGCAATGAAACCCTGAGACAAATACTTACTGAAAACACACACAAAAGTCTTCAAAATCTAACCATATTTCTTTGGAAGCACCTTCACTGACTGTTGTAAAATCTTCCTGTGACTTTTCCTGTGTTGCTGTAGTCTGGCTGACCAAGTCCTTTTCTACACCCAAGCCCTCGGGTGGGTGGAAATCACCCAGTGCAAGCTCTCCTTGTTCGTCTGGGAAAAGGGGAGGACAAATAGGTCAAAATGGACAAATAGGACAAAAATGTCTTACATTTTTAAGTGACAGGCTGTTATAGTATGGAAAGATGAATGGTATGGTGGATTTCATATCCAAGTCCTATTTATGGGAATACAGTGAGAAAATCACTTCTATGCTGACCTAAAGTTTATGAAGATTTATTTCTTACACTTAAGACTTTGTAATTCAGGAAACTTGAAATCACTTTGGTAAATTTTGGAACATATTCTTCAGAAATTGCCAAGACACACCAGAGATTAAATACTTTATGTGCTTCAGGGATAGTCTTAAAAGAAGGTACAGTCCAGACACAGAAGAAAAAGTAAAGACATGACAGGTCTGTTAGCCCTGATGTGTTCAGTCAGCCCTTTAGTCACTCTACTCAGTGACTGTGTGATCAAAGTTAAGATTTGTCAAGTACTGTCACAAAGCTCATGCAGAATCTTGACCCAACATCTTATATATGTGCATGTGACATTTCTTTTCGATTTGAGTCTTCGCCAAGTCTTTAGTTAGTAATAGGAACCACCAATGGCTTCAGTACTTTGACTACAGCATGCATGCATTAAAAGGCATGAACTTGTGGATAGTCACCTGCAAACCCAGCAGCCTGGAGGATTAAGAGCTTGAAGCCAACTTGGACAGCAGTGGGTTGTAGGTAGTCTGAGCAATTTATGTAAGACCCTGTCTTACATAAAATAAAATACCAAAATAAACTGATTACTTGCACTTTACTAACAGACTCTCATCATCCTCTGTTTCTAATTTTAGTTTGAATTTAACCTGTGAAATTGTCACATGTTTCTAGTCTGGAGTAGACGAGAATTAATAAATCATAGGAGATGCTGAGGCGAGAGAAGGGAGAACTAAGACTGTCTAGAAGCAAGACTTGAGAGTGCTTTGATATCGATGGGAGAGCGAAACCATGAAGGGATTACTAACTTACCTTTTCCAGGTATAGTCTGCAACACAACATTACCCTGCAAAGTGAAGATGAAAAATATAAGTATAAACATAGTGCACAAATTGGAAAGGTCTCTCTTTAATAGTTTATAGGAAATGTGAGCCAGGAGGGACACAGGGGTACTTGAAAGTTGAAGGATATTTCACTTTCTAAACTGTCATAGGTACATGAGATGTTGGCTTTTAGACTGCTAAGATGTGGAGTACGCACCCTTTGCAGACAGACAATAGTTCACAGTTAAAGTAAATTTTTTGTATGATTCTCGGTTGAATCAGTACCTGAGATGTGCTTCCTGTTACTATGGTTATCTCCGCTTGGCTGGCGCTTATAGGTATTTCATTTTCTGCAAGGGAAGGAAGACTGGTTCCCAGTGGTGTTCCTTTCTTAATGACTGACTGCACAAAATGCCTAGTGAAGAAAAGCCCACAAGACTTCTGTTACTGTGACTTATAGTGACTAATGAATAAGCTTAATCTTGTCAATAAGAAAACAGTTTGATTCTGTTAATTTTGTTCTCATTCTTTGAACTTTTATATTATGTCTTATACTACTGCTCTATAAGTATGTGTATTGCTGTAAACGTTTTCTTGGGACACTGTTTTAAAGATGTAGATGTTTATGATCAAAATAAAGTGATTTGATTATCAGCATTAGTGGAATTAGAAGAATGTGTGTATGAATGAAAATCTTGATGTGGAAAATTTAATCCTAAATTTTAAGCACTTAAGCTTCTAAGTGTGACTTTCATACTTTCTACCAAGATAGTTCCTCAGGAAGTCATTGACATAATACAGACAGCATCACTGTAGCATGAATTTCAATGGCAAAATGATATATCTAGCATAGTATCTACATTTTACAAAGAGAAAAACCAAATTCTACACATATAAGGTTCACACCTTTAATCCCAGCATGCAGAAAGCAGAAGCAAGCAAATCTCTGTGAGTGCATGGCTAACCTGGCCTATATGTCAAGTTCTAGGTCAGCTAGGGATACACAGTGAAACCTTGTCTCAAAAACAAAGGAAAAATAATCTTTACACATTTAGACTGCATGGACTGAATTCTCCAACTTACACACAACTTCCACTAGAGGGTAGCAGAAGCATGTTTATGAGGCTCCAATTTTCTCTTAAAACCATGAGCCAAGAATGAATAAACCTGTTCCGGTACAGAAATGGAATTTCAATTAATGGAAATCGTGAGAGTAGTCGTTCTCCAAGGAGATTGCTCTTATGCTGACACACAAAAAATCTGGCTGGGGAGCAGAACAGGTCTAGGACATGTCTTCTGAAAAGAGTGCAATGCCATTCACATATCTTTGCTTTGGCTTTGCCACAGAGTTTGAGTATGTGAATGAATTATAACAGACTACATCAGGTAATGGATTAGTGGCAGCCAATCAACAGCTGCCTGTTTCTGGGTATTAGATTTTTATTCACCTTAATCAAACAGTAAAGCTAAAAGAAGTTAGAGAAACATCTGTTTGGGAGTAACTCGAGGAACTCAGGCTATGAGATCAATCCATTTGACCC